CCTTAGAGCGGCAAGGCCCTCACTGCCTCCGCCTGCCCCCAGGCCCCCCCACTCTGCTGCGCAGCCGCACCCACACAGAGTGCTTGGCTGTCCTCACCAGCTTGCATCTGAAGGACACGAGTCGCCAAAATGACCTCTTCCCCGGTCAGGGATGATGTTGAATAACGTCAGAATATGTATAGCTGAAACTGGATGCAAAGTTACACAACACAATTTCAGGTAGAATAATCTTCATTTTTGTAGTCTTTGTTACCGAATGGTTACTCTTCCAAATAATTAGAAAGCTTCTGTAAAATTAGTATTTCCAGCTGATTTCTGTAACAAAAAAAGACTTGTCTAGAAGCAGCATTGGTTTTGTATTCTAAAAGAGAAACTAATTAAATGAGCTTCTATCTAAGAGCATTTTCATCTTCGTTTTTCTAGTTTTCTGAACTTTGCTACCAAAGTGTGCTTTGTGGACAGCCTGGCCGCCCTGGAAGCAGGCTAGACGGGCAGAGGCCAGGGCACCCCCGCCCCTGAGGCCCCAGCTGTATTGCAGCGGGGCTTGGGGTTGGTGACTGGAAGTGTGACCAGCACCCAGATGAGGGTCAGCTGGCGATAGAAGGGAAGGGAGAAGATTCTCAGTGAGAGGAGCACCATGTTTAAAAAAAGTGAACTGACGATTTTTAAAAAGCAATACTAGTATGTGTGCCTTGCATACAAATCACGAGTGGGAGGATTCTGATCCTCGTCTAACCCTAGTAAAATTGGCCTGAGAGAGGTTCTTAAGCAGGTGACACAGGGAGAGCCTGAGATAGGTCGATGCTGATCTTCCAGTGCCCTTGCTGGGAGAGCCTTTCTGGACCAGCCTGCCTCGCACTTCGTTGAGCTCTTTGTTTTGCCTGTTATTTAGAGCCCACCTTTCATTTTCATTCAAAAGACATTTTAAAATATGCCATTCAAGTCCAGGTCTTTGCACATCAACAGTTTCTGGGGATTCAGCCCATGGATGCATCACTGGTAGAAGTAGCGCTTTCCTGCTCTTGGGTGGCACCTGGCTCCTTCCTGGGGGGCTCACCTGCAGAAGGACTGCTGGGACTTGGTGCAGTGTGGGAACACCACCCTGCACTGCAGGTCATCGTGCTTAGTCATCCATGCCCTTGGAGGGGACACAGCCCGTGTCTGAAACACTGATGCCAACCCCAATGGGGGTGTCTGATGGTGGGGACTCCTGAACCCTAGCCCAAGTTCTGTCACACTCGGATAGGTGTGGTGCCGTGCCAAATGTTCTGTCTCTCTTTTCTTAACTTCCAGGGAGGTCTGATGAAGAAAGGTAGGTCCCCCCGGCATGTACCACCTGCCGACCCGTAGGCGTGGAGTCTGCCAGCCGCAGGCCCTATGGAGTCTGCAGAACAGGCTGTTAGTGCTTCTGTGGTACGGACCCCACAGAGGAAATGTCTGAGTTTTGCTGAGATGTACAGTATAATTAGCATAAATAGTGATTAAAATCTGTTTCTTTAATTTGAATTTTAGGGACCTGTTGCAATGCGAGTGGCAAAATTAGCAATTAATCAAGGGATGGAGGTAAGTTCCTTGATGGGTGAGTTTGTTGCTGGAGCAGGCAGTGGAGATTTAACTTAAATGAACGGAGGTTAGAGCTCTGCGTTATTTCTAATGTTCTAAAATACAGCGATTTCATGCTGCTTTTACTGAGAGCCACTGAGGTTCTTTAAACTACATGGTTGATTTCATTCTGCAAACAGAATCACTGTCATAATCACAGAACTGGTGACCCACCCTCAGCCGTACAGCCTAATGACTTGCTTGTGATTTTGCCATTGAGTTAAGACTTACTGACTAGTCGCTCATAGAAAACCCAGAAGGAAAGGGCCTCTGTGTGTTCTCAGCACCAGCACTGTGGTATTAAAAGATTTGGCGGAGGCTGCCCTGGCCCTAGCCCCCTCGCACCCCTTGGGTGCTCTCTGCAGGGAGGCACAGGAAGCAAGGCGGCAGGTGGGGCCCCTGGGTGGGACTCCGAGGGAGGGGAGCCCCAGGCCGGGCAGGGCGAGGCAGCCCTTGACTGGGACTTCCAATTAGTTAAGTTATGGGAATTTTTAAGAAAGATACTTATTCCTTGTAGACTCAGAGCTCACTGTATTATCCTGGGCTTAATAGCAGTAAAAAGAGAGAGAATTTGTTAGCAGTATATGTAGTTTTTAACATAAAAGTATTAGATTTTTTTTTTTTAAATTCTTATGTAATAGTAACAATATTTAGTAGCAAATGCCTTACATGACCCTTGCTCTGTGCCAGGTCTCTCTCTCTCTCACACACACACGCACACAAACACATATATATACTCACACACACACACACACACACACACTACACATACACTCACACACAGACACACACACACACACACTCACACCCCCCCCTCACTTCATTGTACTTCACAGATACCTCCATTTCCATCAACATCCAGGCAGGACCCTCCACCAGCAGAGTTTAGGACTCACTGAAGGCTCAGGGGATGGTTAGCATTTTTTAGCAATAAACTATTTTTTAATGAATGTGCATTGTTGTAGACACAATGCTGTTGCACACTTAATGGGCTACAGTATAGTGTAAACATAGCTTTTATAGGCACTGGGAAACCAGAAACATTGTGTGGCTTTATTGCGATACTTGCTTTATTGCTGTGGACTGGAACCGAACCCGCGGTATCTCTGAGGGTGGCCTTTGTATCTTAGGTACCTCATAAAGTCTTCACCTGGATAAATCACTTAATCCTTACAATCTCCTCAGGTGGTAGCCCCTTGTTCAGCTGCGGCTCTCTTGGGCACAGAGAGGTTAAAGATCTGACCCAATGCGGCACAGTCCCACATGGGGGAGTCAGGCTGTGAATCCAGGCAGCAGGTTCCACAGTGTCTCCTGCTGCCCCACCTGGGATTTGCCACATTACATTGAAGGGCTCTGTTCATGGGAGTAGGGTTATTAGGTTTGAATTTACAACGAGTATACCATGTTTCACAAAGATTTTCCTGCTGAAATGAACTATGTTTTTATCCTCAGGTGGATTTAGTAACAGGGTTAGCCATAGAAGAAGCTTGTTATGCTCAGGTATGTAATACAATCATTCATTCAACGCAGATGCCCTCACAAAGTCCGGTGACCTCTGTGAAGGTCAGATGTATCCTGTGTCACTGGGCAAAGTCATGTCACACAAATGTTGAAATTAGTTCTGATACTTGACTGCCATCAGCTCTGTTCACAAACCAGTGACTGTTGTCTACATAATTTAGAAAACTCTTAGAGTGGTTAAGTTAGCGCCACTTGTGCTGCAACTGTCTCTGTGACTCACAGTGTGTTTCGTGAGTGACTTGAGCCCTCACTGCAGCGCAGAGGTGGGGCGGGTGGTGGTGAGCCACCTGCCTGCTGGGGAACACAGGTGTTGAAGACTCATCGGCTCTCCCTGACCTCCTCTGCCTCCCCTCCTGCCCAATGAAAGTTCACTAATTCAGTTGTACAGTTTTCTTTTTTGTACACAAATTAGTGGGGCTTTCTATAGGGGAACAAATCATCCTTCCGTCCTCCCCTTATCTGCCACCCTCCTTCTCCCTCCCTTTCACCTTTCCTTCCTCTGATTTTCCCGAAAGGTGTAACTGTTTTAGAGCACCTAACGTAGCAGAACTTTGTCCTACCTTTCCTGAGAACTGGAAGCTGCATCAGCTTCCATTTAACTGCTGCCGTGGATTAGGGGCACGGCTGGAGTATGACTCTGCAGGTCCCTGTTCAGAAGTCTCCACCTGGGATTGATGAGCACCTGCCAGGAATGGAGTAGATAATGGACCTCCACAGAGAGCCTTGGAGACCACGGAAAACTCTGAAAACATATTTGGCTCTAAGTCACACCTTATCAAATGTAAAGGAACAGAAGTCACACCAAGTGTTCTGTCAGACCACAGTAGAATTAAACTAGAAAGACAGGTGGAAAATCCCACCTGTTAATGGTGCGTTTTAATCTTTAAAGAAGGTTAAACAACACACTTCTAAACACATGTCAAAGAAGAAGTCTCAGAGGAGTTAAATCATTGCTGAACTGAATCAAAATGAAAATGAAACTCACTAAAATGTGTGGGAATGCATTGAAGGCAGTTGCTTAGAATACATAGTATGGATGCACATGTCAGAGAAGAAAGATCTAATTCAAAGCTTCTACTTTGTTCCTAAGAGCAGGTTGTTTTAAGTATATTTGAAATGGAAAAAACCTATTTGGAGTTAGAATAATAAATGTGGTCATGTAATTAGAATTGTTCAAATGGCTACTAGATTTCAAAATTTTATATTGTGTTCTAATTAGTTTTCTTAGATAAAACGCTTACATTTTACTTTTTGGTACATGTAACATGATGTCTTGTTTCTCTTAGACCATTCCAACAAAAGACAGACTTGAAGGTCTTCTGGCGTTTAAGGAGAAAAGACCCCCTCGCTATAAAGGGGAGTAAAGCGAGCACCGTCTCTAAAATGCCAGCGTGGCAGGTGTGCTTCGGGGGGGCCTTTCAGATCCACGAAGGGCTCAGCGCCTGGAACCCACGACCAAAGCGGAGGGTGGTGGCCGTGCAGTGAGTTACACATCTGGAGTCGTCGAATGTTCCGTGTCCCACTGTGTGATGCCCCGTCCATTCAGATTTATCGAGCTAGCAGTGTGTGCGCCAAAACACAGACTAAAGTAGGTAGATGTTTTAAAATTCTTCCTGCGTATGAAGCTTTCTGTTCTTAATTTTTAATGTGAATAATTTATATATTGCACTCTAGGAAAGAATGTTGATTGTATGTCTACTGTGCTGCAATATGAAAATAAAATTATTTCTATATACCAAAAATGTGAAGTTGTACCTAATAAAGTTTCCGAGGGATCTTATGCACAGGTACACATGTACATCTCAAACTGACAAAGGAATCAATAGATAGAAGTGAAATTTACCAAATCTAAATCAAATTAGTGAAAATAACTGAATAAAACATTCATGCTGGATTTGGGAAGAAGGCCCCTTTCTACGCTGGTTCTCTGTGTCAGGTGAGCTCACCTAGTCCGTCTAGAATGTGGTGTGGTCAGTGGAGAGTTGATCCCATCTGAGATGAGCCCGAGGCCTTGGGAGGCCACCTGCAGGCCTGGCCCCGTGGTACTACTCAGACCTCCCAGCACATTTCGGGGCCCCTGGCCTAACCCAGAGAGAAAGTTACAGCCAGGGTGGTGGATTAAGGGTGCGATGGAGCCTGCCCTCGCCCTCTCACCCCGTTACTGGCCCCTGATTTCAGTAAGGAAGGCAGGTGACTTCCACAAGCCTTTCCATCTCTCCTTGACAGACCTGCCTTTGCACCTTGGCCCGGCAAAGCAGCCCAATGTGGAGGAGCCAGGGGAGTGCAGCCTGCCTGGGGCAGGGGCCCCTGGAAGCACAGGATTCAGTGTGAAAAGGGAGGGGACACCACCATTCTGAATGAATTGTGCTGCCTTTATTTTGTGTTTGCTTCATCACACCAGGCTGTCTTCTGACTGCAGGGCTGAGTTCCCCGGCCCTGGAGAAGCCCTGCTTTCTGGGACCCACACGTTGTTTGAGGCCCGGGTGCCGCAGACCCCCAACCACTGCAGCTGAGCCCCTGCAGTGGCAGGCCTGCCTGCCCCCGTGTTCCCGCAGTCAGCAGCACGGCCTCCTTGCTTTTGGAAAACACATACACTTCGAATTTTAAAAATCACTGAAACTTATTTTTAATATGGGAAATTAAACTCCCAAAACCTTGAAAGAGGCAAACAAGGTTCCGTCAGCTGATCCCCCTGAGGCGGCCGGGCAGGCAGGCGATCTCCCCGCACACTCACCTCGCTTCTGACGCTCGCAGGTGGGTGACCATCGCATCCTGTGAACATTGTGAAAGTTCACATTTGGCTCTCGGGGTGTGACCAGTGTTTGTGCACTTTGTTTGCTGATAAACCTGCACTGTTCATTTCCTGCAGGATAACTTGCAGATTAAGTGCTTGTCCCTGTCACAGCCTTTAGAGGTGTCAGGACCATTGTGTCCTGTCTGTGACCCTTTCAAAAGCTGCTTCTGATTCAGCTGAGTAGGAGGTGATGGTAACGAGGCAGAAACGCTAAGCCGGGGCCCAGCAACGTGCTGGCTGACTCGGAGCCAGTTGGTGCCCATTGAGCGCCACTTAGCTCAACACGTTCCGAGCACGTCAGTGGAGTGTGTCTGAAAGCAGACCGCACCCTGAAGTGACTTCTGATACCAGGCAGCCACAGCAGGGGCATGTGTGTATAGACTCTCGCCGTCACGTGATTTCTCTTCAGCAGCAGGGTCTTGCCGCTGGTCCCGCGCCAGGGGCTGGGGGCTCCGTGGGGAGAGGGCGGGTCAGGGGCACCTGTCTGCCTGGCCAGCAGCTCCTCTTGTTTCACTTCTGCACAGTGTTTGCGGGTCCTGACACTGAAACCACAAAACTGCATCAGGCTGACGCTGGCTGGAAATGCAGTGGTTTCTTCCTTCCATGTGTTGTGATTAAGTCCAAGAAAACCCAGGGGAGGTTGAACCAGCGCCAGTGCAGTTCAGGAGAAGACGCTGCGTGGTATCCGGGCGGGAGCCCCACGAGCCCTGACACAGCTCAGTGCTGGTTAGCTTACCACATCTCTGAAGAGAAAGGAGGCCTCTAACTTACAGAGGCCTGAGGCCAGAGAGGAGGTGTATTATGCGAAAAGAAGACATTTCCTGGGACTCATTTCTGCGATTTGAAGGGTCATTTCAAATTTGTTGTTTTCAATAAGAAAGGACCTGGTTTTCCTGTTAATCTAGTTCTTGCTTTTCCTTCTAGTTGTCAAAAAAGTGGCTTGTTACAGAGTGTTCCTTTTCTGACAGTGCTTGGAACAGTAGTGGCTGTCATTTCCTTGATGCCACACTTACAGAAAATGCTATTTTTCATAGGGACTTACAGCTGGCCATTGGCACTTTTCTCCTGGCAGGCCGACATTTAAATATTTAACCATGCTGTTCTTATCTGCCTGCTCACCTACATAAGTAGTAACTGATGTGTATGTCAGCATTGATCAAAACAGCAATAGAAATTATTTCCTTATACTAAATTGTATAGATGAAACAGGCTACAGATTGTGACTGGGTGTTCAGGGACAAAACCCTGTGCTCCAAATATCTGCGATTTTCAGGTACCCCAAACCCTCTGTTTCCAGTGCCTTCCTTTGGATTTTCACAGCCCTACTCTTTGGGAACCTCTCAAAGTTCATCTGTCCCTTAGAGGCATAACTTCTAACCCTCAAAGAACACCTGTGCAGTTAGCTTCTCAGGCTAATGCTCAGGGCAGCATGAGAGAACAGTGCCTGGCCGGGAGAATAGGGTACCCAAGGGACAGACCAAGATGCACCGCTGGGGTGGTCAGGGCCAGCCCTCATGACACACTCCACCCTGAGCCAGCTTAGAGGAGACGAAATACTGAGCTTACAGTTCCCTGGGGGCAGCAAAGTGGGGTTAGCCACTAGCACATCAATCCATTTTAAAGTACAGAAAACAAGCATTATGTATATGTTATGATTCAGGAAACACTTTGACACAATCACTGAAGATACTAATGTGGATGAGATGAGAGAATTAGGGATGGGCACTGTTCCGATGATACTGACTTACCATTTATGAAACCCTGAGTGCCTGCAGGGGCTCCCATGGATACTGTGTTTGCTGGTGACAGCCTCCGGGGAGGAGAGGCCCTGGTGGTTCTGGGGTGAGCAGCAGGCTGGAGCATGGCCTGATGGAGCTGGTTGCAGACAGGAGGTGAGCCTGGTGCCATTGGCCTTGCCCCACTCTTCACTCTCCACAGCCTGCTGACCTGCGAGTGTCAGCCTTGCCCAGATTGGTTCGACAGTCTCCTCCTGACTTGCAGAGATACTGAAAGTGTGCGTGTCAAGTGGTCTGGTGACTGGCAGGCCATGTGGCAGTTACTGTGACGCCCACTCAGCGCCTCCAGCTGGGCGCTTCACCTGCATGTTCTCACCTAGCACTCAGAACCTTAGGAAACAGCCCTGGCCAGTGCTGCTCAGTGGGTAGAGCGTCGGCCTGCTCACTAAAGGGTCATGGGTTCTCTTTCCGGTCAGGACACGTACCTGGGTTGCAGGTTCTCTCTCCACCTCCAGTCAGAGCACATGCGGGAGGCAACCAGTTGATGTGTTTCTCTCACTTCTCTCTCTCTTTCTCCCCCCCCCCCAC